AAAAAAAAAAAAAAATGACACGTGTATGACATCAGAAGAACGTAACAACCCTATAAATCAATCCTTTACGATTTGATATCGCGCGCTTGAATCATTGGATCATATCGTTGTTGCCATTACCGACTTTTTATATCGCTATCTATCAATTTTATTTTTATATACGGAGATAGTTGTTAACCTACATACACTGCGTAAAGAAGTTTTTTTACGAAATTTATACGATAATATCGATGATTATAAGCTCGCATCACATACGCTTCTTATTACATTATTCTTTCTTTCTAGGTATCGTTTCGAAAAATTTCGAGAATATTATTATGAAGAATTTTAACGAAAGGAATTCTCACGAATTTCAAATTGTTTCGAAGAATCAGTTTATCTATCGATTAACGAGAATAAGCGCGTAGAAGATAGCTATCTGTTGGATTTCACGGCTTTTCGAGCGACCTTTGCCCTGTTCTTGCTGGTAGCAAGTTCCAAACCGCCCCTTGTCAGCTGATTGAAATCGATAATGGTGAGCCTCGGCTCGGCGGGATGTCTGGACAGGGCCTGCACCCTGTCGAGCGGTGCCCCGGGGCTCCGGAACCTGTAGCTCCGGTTCCTGCACCCGCCGACGCCCGTTCCACTTCCAGTTCCGGTCCCAAGCTGGCTCATCCGCGTGCCGCTCATCGATCGACAACCGCCGCTCGCGGCCATCTCTGTCTCCTCTTGAAAGTACCTGCCAGTCACAATTCGCGTGTCATCTAACTTGTTCATTCTTTTCCTCGAACAGTACAAAGAATTAGCGGCAATGCTCGATTCGACTCTTACGTTACGGTTTAATCGAAAATCAGGATTGGAAAGTTTTCTCAAGATAAAAGTGAAGCGAAAGGAAAGGAAAGAAAAGGTGAATTTTCATTGTATCATTGAATTGATAAGAAAACGGTGCGATTTAAATTAATTACTCGTGAATGCTGGCAAGATGTATAGGCGCTGGTTTCCTGCAAGTCTTTGGCCTAGGTTCTCTAAGAATACGATGCCTCGGCCGTGACTGTCTCGTTCGTTTGGTGGATGGTTGATCGGGAAGGCCGGTCGGGATGATGCCCATTAATTTGTAATATTCTAGGAAGACGCGGGCCAGATTGCGTCCTAATCTGTAATCTGTGATTTAATTAGGCTAGTCAAGTCATCGATAGATTCTCCAGAGGCCTACGTCAGATAATCGATTGACAGAAAAAACTTTTTAATGCGAGCCCTTCAATTGAACGTGATATAAATTATTCAACGGCACTTTGCTTAATTTCCTTCGAAAAACGGGGACGTTCTAGAATAAACGGCCGGGTTAACAGCGGTTCTCCATTCGTGAAGAACACCCTTAAGACGACGATTTGTTTTTCGATTAATTATCTTCGCCAAGATGTTGCCCTTGCATTGTGGCGCTCTAAATTTAGTTGGTTGTTTCAATCGAATCTTATCAAATTATTATCAAACATTGAACACGATGTTTCAAACTTCTTTTTTGTATTATTCCAGATTCTACAATTTCATCGAATGTTTGAATTACGATGATTCTTAAGATAGGACTCTTCGAAACGAGAACTTTTCAAATTGTAAAAGAAAGTTATTTATACGGAAAATAATCTACTCGTGGAAAATAGAAGTATACATATATCAAAGGATACATCCTTCCTCGGTATATGGGAATATTCCAGGCATCGCTTTTCTATTGTATCCGTACATCGATACCTCGATGCTATAGCAATTCACGTGTTCCTTCAGAATAGAACACAGATAACGACGTGCAGTTCCAGCCTTATGAGGATCCTGATTGTACATCGTGTTTCCTATTTCATAGTCTTCAACGTGCTGCGCCAATAATTTCGGTAACACGATGTGCCTTTCGTACCTGAGAGGCTGGCAGCCATTGATTAGATAGTGTCGTATATAAATGGAACATACAATAAAGGCAGGAATCTATTTAAAAAAAGAGAAAAAAAAAAAAATCAAAAGAACGGTCGAAGATACCTGTACACATCGTCATACGTGTTTCCATAAACGAAAATCCCTGTTGCGTTGGTATGAGCGTGCAAATCCAAGACGCAATCTAATGGCGTGAGGGAATTCTTATCGAGATTCTTCAATATCGGTTTAATTGCTACCAATGCGGGATGAAGCCATTCAGAAATTTTGTTCCACGAGCGATTTAAATCTGCCCCTATCAAGGTGGATCTTCAACAAGATAATTTTTTACTTACTCGTTCATCTTATTATAGGGGAAAAAATTCTCTATATTTACCTATAATTACCAAGAAATACACCATCAGGATTTAACATTGGCACTATCTTGAAAACGATGTAATTCCTCAACACTTGGGCGATGGGGTGGGAACTGACCAGAAAGTCCATTAGACCTTGGCAAACGAACGAAGAGGGTGATTCGCCTGGATATACCCTTGCGAGGACAACCACCACCTTTCTCGAACGATCTTGAACGTCGTCCAGATTCGAAGTTATCGTCACCAACTCGATCTTCCTCTTTTGTATCGACGTGGCTATAGTTTCTCTCTTCGTATACGTTAACCTGGTGCAAAGATTGTCCAGATGTGCCAAATAACGGCTGTACGAGTAGGGATACGTCAAGGCGAATTGATACACGTCCTCCTCACGGTCGAAAGAAAAGGCGAAACTGAGGATGTAATGGTTTTGATGTTGCGCCGATTTGTAGTAGAAAACCTAGGATAAAAATTTTGGAAGAATAAATCTTCGATATATATATATATATACATATCTCTTCCTTCTGTTCACGATGACTCACTTGGTCCCTGGGAATTCTTTGCCATTTCGATCTGCTGCTACTCTTTACCAACGGCGTCATCCCATTTCGAAATAGATTCGCGCTTTTCGATATGTTAACTATGTTGAAGATCACTCGTTGGTCAGCCTTCACGTTGTCCACGGTGAAATTGAACCACATACGAAGTCGCGGGTTGCAAGTGTCCGGCCTGATGAACAGATCGTACTCGAATTCCGAGATAAGATCCACCCTGCCCAAGTTGCCAGTTTCGAACGAGGCGTCGAAGCAGATGTGTCCTTTCTTCGCCTTCCCGCTATGGCCTGGCGGTCGTATTATCATCTTGTTCACGTTGCCCAACCCTCCTTCTGCATCGCTGTCTTCGCTCTCTGCACAATGATACATTCTCTTTGAATTTCCCGTTTACGAAAGATTTTCGAAAAACAAGCGGATAACAAGCGGATACGATATTAAGAGGAACGAATCGATTCACATAAAGTATAAATGAAAAAGAAAAGGAAAGAAACAATCTGACCAGCTCTTTGATAAAGGCTAGTATGCTCCAACGGATCCATCCTTGAAGTGAATAGAACAGAGATCCGTCAAGCAGAAGACGCGGGAACAGACTGACTTTCCTTTGGGTTTAGCTACCTTTTATGGCGGGTGTTACCACCTACGTGAATAAAGTCTGATCGTGCCGTGGATCAGCACGTTAGGTTAATTCCCGTGTCGGTTCTCGTGCGAGGAATCTCTCGTGTTCGTGATTTCGCGCGGTTCAATCGGACGAGATTGGCGGGAATTCGCGTGGCTGCCACGCGTCAGAGATCTCTAGAACGAGGTTTAGCGAAACGATCGAAGTCGTTTGCGGTCACGAGATGCTAGTTGATCGAAATCTAAATGAAGAGGAAGGGAGATAGTCCATCCGGCAATTTACTTTTGATGTTGATCCCGCAAATTTGCAAATTTGCTCGTATCTTTTCTAGAAACTAGGAATAATCCTTGCTCATCGCAATTTCGTGGGAACGAACGATGGTTAAAGAGCTTACGTTTACGTCACGAAACTCTGCCCTCTTCGAATCGAACCGATGAAACTGATTTCAACTTTCCGATTTGTTTCATCTTTTATCCACCGATATTTTATCTCTCGATTTTCTCCCCGTGTTATTAACGATTCGAGGAAACGATCGATGCAGAAATTGTTTTTACACTACTCGGACTTATCCACGTGGCTTGTACACGAAGACGTAAGAAACGGTCAGAGACAAGGAAAGGTACACGTCACGTCTTCGACGTGTAACCACGTATCGCGTCGCCGTATCCGAAGTTCAACCCCGTTCTCTTATGCATTATTCTTTATCAGAAGAGAGGGAAGGGGAGGAGGCGTATAACGCGTCGCGTGCGGATTTCTATATCAGGATTGTTCGATATCTATTTCCATGCAGCCCGCCACGATGCACGGTAAATGACACGTCGGATGGCTAAAAGTTGCGCGCCTATAGCCTAGAAGGAAGGAACGGAAGGTAGGAAGGAAAAGGAAAATTAGAGGCTGTCAGTCGGGCTATAGTGACTTTCCATTGCGCAATTCCGTTATCAATGATTCACCGATTGACGCAGAACTCGGTAACGTGTTATATTGTCACGTGAACTTTGTGTAATCAGTCAATGGTAGTGACTGACAGTGACTCGTTCCCTCGATCGATCAAAGTTCCAAGAAGATAAAAATTAATGAGAAATTCTCGTTTCGTAGAAAAATTCATCGAACGATGACTGTTCAATTTTCGTGTGAGAAATCGAGGTTTTTCTCAAAATTTTTAATAATTGATATCGGTTGATAATTCACCAATAATTTTCATCTTTCCCTTCCAAAGGAAAGCTTTGTATAATTTGGACAAATGTCTGTGGCACATTGCCACGCCGCAATTACGGTTGTGCAAGTGAGAAAGAGAGAAAGAGAGAAAGAAAAAAGAGAAAATTGCTGGGAAATTGGAGGGAAAAGAGGTCTGAGGACGTAGAACTGATGGTCGAGAAGAGCAATTAGAAGCGGGGAACAAAGAGAGCGGGTAGAAAAGCGTCAGGAACGATCAAGAATATAGAACGTGTAGATAATAAGAAGAAAAA